GGCCAAAAATAGAATAATTTGAACGTCAGTAAGATTAATGGCTATAATGGATTTAAATGTATTAAATATGTTCCTATTATCCATTTATAAATATATTGAAAGTGAAAATCTAATTAGTCAGAATTGGAGAGTACTGGGACCAGCAGTTGGCGTAATGGCTATGTTGCTGGACTCCCATGCAGTCGATTGAGGTCCGAATCCTGGACCCGGTGGCTTAAACTCATGCTGGGCACGTATGCGTGCGTGCCCAAGATCCCGAGAGGAGAATGGAGGAGAAGGGATTGCGGCATGGCCATCTCCCTTGGGAGGTGATTTCTCACTTTCTGCCTCTCTGTCTCTATCTATCTTTCTGGCAAGTGCACGTGCTCTGTAGCAAAAACCTCTCCAAAAAAAAAAAAAAGAATTGGAGGGTACTAATGAACCAATGCACTATTTAAAACACATGTTGGGACTGGCAGATGGTGTGGTGGTTAAGGGAGCTGGATTCCCACATGGCTGACTGCAGTTCAAATCCTAGACCTGGTGGCTTCCTTTCTTGCTTTCTCTTTTTCTCTCCCTCTCTCTCTGTCTGTTCAAATTAAAAAATAATAACAAATGGAATCAAATAATTCTTAAAAATGTTAATAATTTTTTAAAAAAATAAGCTTTTTTTTTTTTTGCAGTTTTTATACATCCAAGAAGTGGATGAGAATAAGTTACTCTTTATACTAAGGGTTCCCAATCCCTGAGCCATGGACCAGTGCCAGTCTGTGGCCTCTGAAGAACCAGGCTGCACAGCATGAGATGAACGGCAGGCAAGCAAACAAAGCTTTATCTGTATTTACAGCCACTCCCCATTGCTTTCATTACCACCTAAATCCAGCTCCTGTCAGATCAGCAGAAACATTAAATTCTCATAGGAACGTGAACTCTTGTGAACTCCACATGTGAGAGATCTACACTGGATGCACCATAAATCAACCCTACATTCCCATCAGTGGAAAATTTTTTCTTCTACAAAACTGGTCCCTGGTTCACAAAGGTTGGGGTTTGCTACCTTATACAAATATTCTGAGTAAAGCATGAAAGAAGGAATGATCACGTTTGCAACCTCAGATGAACAACAAATGAATCTAAGTGTTGAACAAAAACAGCTGCTAGCATCGCCAAAAGAGTACCCCCGACCTTACGTCAGGTGGCTCCTGGTAGAAGAACACATCACTACCTATGAAGTATTTTCCAAAAATAAAATCTGAAAAACCCCTGTAGATAAGTGTCAATGTATAGAAAATGCAAAAGACAGAGGAGAAAGTTAAGCGATACTGTGGGGATGAAGCAGGAAACTATAGAAAACCTTGGGCATACTGTGGGACAAACAATTTGGTTTCTTCAACAAAAAATGTCAAGGAGAAAAACTACAGATCAAAATAGACACGAAAGACATATCGGCCAACTGTAATGGGTAGACTTATTTGAATTCACTTTTTAAAAATTTGTAAGATATATGACCTTATTGAAACAATCGGAAATTCCTTAAGTTTTATTATTATTATTTTAATTTTTAGGTTTTTGACATAGGCATGTGCATTCACCAGAGAAAGACAGAGACGGAAAGTGAAAATCACCCCTCAAAGGGAATTGCCATGCCACAATCCCTTCTCCTCCATTCTCTTCTTAAGATTTTGGGCACATATGCACAAGTGCCCAGTGTGATTTTCAAGCCACCAGGTCCAGGACTCAAACTGTGGTCAGCCATGTGGGAATCCAATGCCTTAACCACCGTAGCACCTACTGGCCCCTATCTTAATTTTTTTTTTAAAGAATCATTTTAGCTGAAATAGTTAAGGATGAAATAATACGATACATGGGACTGCTTCAAAATAATATGTGACAAGCCCAGCTGTGGTGGTGTGTGCTGCTTAGACGCTGTTGCTGTGCTCTGCAGGCTGAGACCACATGGGAGGGAGTCCTGCGTAAAACTTCCAGTCCACCCTGAAGGTCATATGCAGTAGTGTGTACATATAATCTCCAAAACTGGAGAGGTTGAGGCAGGGGGATACTGAACTTGAGGCTTGCCTGGACCACATAGCGAAAACATGTCTAAATTCATGTACAGCATGAATATGGCATAAATACCTCTAGCCCCAGCTAAGAGGCTGAGGCAGGAGGATCATGACATTCAACTGAATGCAGTTAGAAGAGAGCCAGTCTATGAAAAAGTAAGAAAGAGGGACCAGCAGTTGGCATAATGGCTATGTCTCTGGACTCCCATGTAGTTAACCACAATTCGAGTCCCGGACCAGGTGGATTAAACTCATGCCGGGCGCAGCACCTGTGGAAACATATCTCCACCCTCAGAAGGCCAGGAAACACCTGTTGCTGTCCTACCCCATAGGATGGTCCGGAATACAGGCGCAGGTGTGCACACAATAAATGCCGATGTGGGCAAGTGCATGTGGAGACAACTGTTCAAAGGAGGCTGAGCCTGAGCAGGAAGCTCCCGGTGGGAGAGAACACCTTCCCATATCCCTTCCCTGTTAACTAGGGTAATAGCAATGGTTAATATTTGCCACGTGCTTGCTGTGTGTCAGACCCTAGCGGAAAGCACTTTACCTGTAGGAATCCATGTTATCCTCTGATACCCTATACACCATCATTATTCTCATTTTACAGATGCAGAACCTGAGTCGCAGCAAGGATATGCATGCACGATTACATACACAGGAAGCAAGGACGGAGGCTAGAAGTCTGGCCCCAGAGCTGCTGTGTTCTCGAATGCTCCCACACTACGGGGTTGTCAGCCCCCTTCCCTGAGGAAAGGACTAGAAGGGGCTGGGCCAGGGCTCTCACCTCCAAGAGGAGCAGCTGATCTCCACCTCTGACAAGCCTAGAACTCGAAACAGCAGGCATTGCAGCTGGCAGAGGGCCTAAATCCAGCTGTGATGGTAGTGAGCCCTGAGAGCAAGGAGCAATCTCGGACCCTGACCCACTCTGGCCATGTGGGGGCTGCCCTGGTTGGCACTAGGAGGATGGGCCGGCCTCTTAGAAGTTGGGGATCCTCTGTCTTCTGCCAGGGCCATAGGGGCTGGCTCCTCCTCTCCCCTCTGCCCCAATCCACGCCCCATCCCTGAATCATAAAGTCAGACCCCAGTCCTGACTCTTGCTCAATCCCTAGGAGCCCAGTTCCTGTGGGCAGCATCTGCCATGTCTGACTCTCTTTTTTTCCTGCAGTTCTAGGGGAAGACGAGATCTTGCACAAGGCGCTCTTCATCCACTCTGGGCCAGGAAGGGGGCATGGAGCCTCTCTGGCTGCCCATCCTGCTCTTTGCCACAGGTAGGCTGCCCTCCCTCTCTCACAGAGTCTGTACCTCCCCTTCACCTCTCCTTCCTCGCACGTCTGGGAGGCGGGGGCTCTGCACTGAGCTGTGAAGGAGACCAGCAGCCCCAGCATGGCCAAACACCCTGTTCTGTTCCCCCTCCTCCCAACCCCACCCCCTATTCTTCATGCCCCTTCTCCCTCCCTCCCTTTCTAGTATCAAAACCCACCATCAGACCCTTGCTGCGTGTGGGGCTGGGAGACTGGCCACACAGGAAGAGAAAGAGTTCCTATGGTGGCATCTCATGTACTAGTTGGCCTTTGGGGGAATATGGGGGACATGTGTGAGAGCCCCTAAACTTATAAACCACTTAAGCATAAGGCCAGCCGCAGAGGAGTGGCTGGATGGGAGGGAGGGAAGGAAGGAGGGAAGAACCTGGCTGAGATCTGCTGTTCACGAGCCCTTGCCTCAGCTCTTGTGGTTAGTCAGCTCTTGTCGGGAGGCAAGGAGGCCAGAAGACTTGTCATTGAGCTAGAGGCATTATACCCCAAATTCTTGCACATGACTGTCTTTTCCTACTGGGGAAAGGACACTTCTTTTTCCCCCAGAGCAATGGGCAAACCTGGGAGAGAGTAGGGATAGCACCGATGGCGGATGGTGTCTTGTTCCTGCAGCTTCTTAGATAGACGGGGAGGAGGGAAGGTAGGGTGCATTTTCCTGCCTGGAAGTCGAAGGTAGATGGGGTGACCTGAGAGGAGCCCTCTAGTTCCAAAAGGCAAGTGACCAACCCCCCTCATTCTTTCTTTAAAGTTTCTGTCATAGGAATGATTGAAGATGGGGTATAAGAGGACCCAGAGAGGGGAAGTTGAAGCAGGGGGCTCTGGGTGACACTCTTGCAGCTGGTGCTCTAAACCCATCTTCCCTACTCCAAGGAGGCTCCCCAAAATAGTAGCCTCATGTCTCCCCCAAAATAGCTCCTAGACAAGTGCTTCTTGAAAGGGGAACAAAGCCACAGAAATGGGGAAGCTGGAAGCCGAAAGCCATGAAAGAGAACAGGGGCTGCCCCAGTGTGGTCAGCCACAGCTTCTATGGGGCCAAGTCCCAGGCCTGACAGTGCCACTGGTCTGCTCTCTCGAGACAGAGAGAGGAGAGAGGACCTAGTCCCATGGCGGGGATCTGCACAGTAGAACTGGAGGGGGCTTAAAGCCAGGCGTCTCTGGAAATAGGCTTGAAGAAGGTCAGTCACTTCCCCAAAGATGCCTAGCAAGCCAACAGTGAGAAAACCAGACCCAGGATCCTGAGTTCCTGTTCCCAGTCTCCCATGAACGCACGCTTGTGCAACATTGTCCTAAGAACCCGAGCTCCTCGAAGGCAGAGCG